CCCGGCGCGAGGCGGACGATATCGCCGTTCTGCTGCACGACCTGATCAGGAATCACTTGGCCTTTACCCAGGGTGTCGTGCTCCTGCATATGGCGCGTCTACGCGTGAGATAAAACGAGAATGTGCATTCGCAGGAAGGCATAGAGCGGCGGCATCTCCACCAGTCTCGCAGGGTCGGAGACGCCGACCATGGTCGACGGCACGGGCAACAGACGCGAACTTCAACAACCCGAACGGCGTGGCGGTCTCGCCGGTCGGCATGTCGGTCTACGTGGTGGATAGCTCCAACCACCGCATCCGCAAGATCGACACCTCCGGCGGCGTCACCACCACGCTCGCAGGCTCTGGGACGGGCACCTTCGCCGACGGCACGGGCACCGCCGCGAGCTTCTACTACCCGGCCGGCGTGGCGGTGTCGCCCGACGGCGGGACGCTCTACGTGGCGGATTACTTCAACTCCCGCATCCGCAAGATCGACACCTCCGGCGGCGCCACCACCACGCTCGCCGGCTCTGGGACGAACACCTTCGCCGACGGCACGGGCACCGACGCGAGCTTCAATTTCCCGAACGGCGTGGCGGTGTCGGGCGGGACCGTCTACGTGGCGGATATGTACAACCACCGCATCCGCAAGATCGACACCTCCGGCGGCGTCACCACCACGCTCGCCGGCTCTGGGACGGGCACCTTCGCCGACGGCACGGGCACCGCCGCGAGCTTCTACTACCCTCACGGCGTGGCGGTGTCGCCCGACGGCATGACCGTCTACGTGGCGGATAGCTCCAACCACCGCATCCGCAAGATCGACACCTCCGGCGGCGTCACCACCACGCTCGCAGGCTCTGTGACGGTTGGTTCCGCCGACGGCACGGGCACCGCCGCGAGCTTCAATTTCCCGTCCGGCGTGGCGGTGTCGCCCGACGGCATGACCGTCTACGTGGCGGATGCCGACAACAACCGCATTCGTCAGGTGACAGCATGATTGCCACCCACGCTTTCGTTCGCTCCTAGTGGAGCGAGGATGCGCAGATCGACACCCTCTCCAACTTGATGTGCCTTGAACACACGCTCCGCTGCCGTCGCCCCTCTTGTGTCGCCCCTCCCGTGTTGCGTTGCGGCCTGGCCCGTGCCCGCCGCCACCGTGTCCCGCTTCTTAGCGCGGAGAGAGACGCTCGCGTCAGGGTGAGACGCGAAGAGCCAAGACCAACGGTGAAAAGTGTCGTGATTGCTGCGGGTCCAGGGGGGATATGGATTATGGTTAGGGGTCGGGAGGGGAGATTTATTTGGGGTCGGCCAGAATAGCCCGTGTGCACGCTTTGGGTAGTGCCATTTCACTGTGGCACAGCCCGCGTTACAAAACCTTGATTTGACCATTTGCGCAAAAAGGTACCTCTCGGTGCCTTCCAGAGGCAGCTGCGACCACGCCGAGTAGACGGCGGCACACAGCAGGTGGCGCGGTGTGCCGCCGTCCACTCGGCGGGGTCGCAGCTGACTCTGCGCGTCCTGGGGATGTACCTTTGTCGCGCGCCGGAGACGACTCGACGCCGCTGAGATCGGAGATCAAGCTCTGACAGGTCGCACGTCGCTCCTTTGACGCCGACGTGACTCACCCGTGCAGATCACATCAGGACACGGTCTCGACGCGCTCGGTACGACGCCTGCGACCCGTCTCTGGTCAGGTGGCACGACGCTCATCGCGCCCGCCAGCGCTGCCATGCAGGCTGCCACGACGAGGTCGAGCACGCTTCTATACGCTCGCCGAGCCTTCCTTTCCATCCCATTAGGCAGCCTGGGAACGGTGGCGGCCAGAGGCAAAGCCTACGAGGGTGGTGGAACCACATGTCACGGCTACTGCCGGCTCGACCCCACGATAGCCTCCGAAGGCTGACTTTGCGGCACCATCATCGGACGATGTCGACGAGTTGGGTCGCTCTCGCGGTAGCCAGATGACCCCCCATACTAGTATCATCGGCCATGGCCGCAGGAAGCGCGGGGGAGGGCGCTGGGAGCAACACGGAGCTCCGTTGGAGACGTTTTCAAGATTAGCGTGTCAGAGTGAAATGGCACTAGCCTTTTTGCTCTCCAAAAATATGCCATGCCCGCCTTGCCAAGAAAAATCCACCAAGTATTACCACATTGTTCAACGTCGTTGAACACTACTTAGGAATGGCCGTAGCTCCTCTCCACGAGCGATTGAGAAGACACGTACCACGTGTCGATTCCGTACGGCTTTATAGAATTGCAAGGCGCACACGCTGGTGCAGGCGGGGAGTCGTCGATCCGACTCGTTCCGACGTGAAGTCGCCGTGAAGGATTGGCAAACAGGGCATTTTGCCCAAGATTTGCCCTCCCGCGCGATCTTCTCGCGTCGGCAAGCGCGCGGGCCAGGATGGGCGAGCCGGTCCCGCCACGCTGGACGGGCCAGCGGCTGGCACGCGCCGGCCACTCCGGCGGCGCGGCGGCCTCATCGCGCTCGTCGTCTGCGAGGCCACCGCTCGGCGTCGCCGCGTCCGACGGCGATGGCGCTTGGCTGTGAGGTGGGATGGCGGCATGGTGCGCGCGGACGTGGGGGTGGTGCGGGATGCGCGTGCCAGCAAGCCTAGTTTCACCTCTACCCACCCACCCCGCAGGCGCGCCGACGTGCTGCCCGAGCGCGTTTGGAGGCAGCAGCAGCTCCTCGCGAGGCGCCTTCGGAGGGGTGCCACACCCCTTTCCCAGCCGCGCGCGAGTTGAGCTCCGATTTGCGCTCTTTTTCGCACACGCCCGACGCTAGTAGGTGAGGATCGACCATCCTCCGCTAGCAGGGCTTCGTCGGGCGCGTCTTTGTCGAGCGGTGGTGCATCTCCCATGCTCCCACCCGCACCCTCCTCGCAGCCCGCCCGCGGCCGACACCGACGCCCTCACGGGCTCACCCTAGTCGTAGGTGCGGGTTTTTTGCGTGCCCTCCGTCGATACGGGGCGCTGGGCGATGGCTGGGCTTGTCGCCGGGCGAGCTGGCCCCTCAGTCGGCCGCGGAGCGGAGATGCGAAATCGAGGCGGCGCGGCCCCTGCGCGCAGCCTATCCGGCCGGCGTGCGCATGGTTCCGTAGCCCGTCTAGGGCCTCACTGACCAACTCCAGCGCTACGGTGCACGTGGCCGGTGTGCTACTGGGGCTGGGCAGCCTTGGGGCCGGCGGAGACCGCCGTCGAGCGCCTTCGTTGTTAAAAGGTGGCAGTCCGGGTTCTGGCGTTTGGACATCCCAACCATCACACAAGACAGCCTGTAGGTGATGGCGGGACGGCGCAGTGTTTGTGGCACTCGGCAGTAGGCACCCGCGGCACAGCCCCGCGGTCGGCTCTCGCGGGCTGCGGAACCGGCCCCAGAAGGGGACGGTCCGGGCGAGTGTGGCAGCTCCTGCGCTAGTATGGGCACCCTCTATCACAACACTACTGATCCTCGCCATTAGAGCTGCCAGGGATAGCGTCAGGAGCTGGTAGGAGTCAAAACCCCTCATATTTGAGACATCGTGGCCCATATACTCGCACAACCCTTACGTCAACGAGCCGACACTCAACGACGACGACAACACGACGACACACGGACACGCGTCGACAACACGACGACAACACGACGACGACAAACAACAAAAAATCACTGGAAACCTTCTTCCACCCATCCCCTGAACTTGGCGCCGCACGACTCGCTCACCCGCCGAGCCCCTCTCTCCCCTCCCTCCACGTTTCAATGACCTGTCTCAACGCGATGTTGCTGACGAGCGCCGTGCTCGCGAGCATCGCACCGGTAACGGGGCTGGGCGCGGAGGCGGCGAGCGGGTACCGCTCCGCATACGTCCGGAACCACATCTCAATCGCCTCGCGCTCGTAGGTGTGGCCTGCGCGGCAATGGCGAGGGCGTGTGGTGGCGGCGGCGTAAGGGTGATGAGAGCGCAGCGTCTCAGCCTCCTCCCAGCCTCTCTCTCCGCCTCTCTCTCTCGCGGCCGATCTCTCAATCGCGTCCAACACCTCACCGTCACATGTTGTCACCGGGTCGGTCATGACCTCTCCGAGCACGGGACACAGGTACTGCGGCGGCGCCGCGTCCGAACGCCTGGGGAGGCTCTTGCGGCGCCTGTGGCGCAAACACATAATGCGCATTGGTTTGAGGACTCAATTCAGCCACGCGTCCGAGCGCCCCGGGAGGCTTGCGCGGCGCCTGCGAGCCGCCCGCCGCGGCACCTGCGGGCATGTCGCGGGCATGTCGCGGGCATGTCGCGGGCATGTCGCGGGCGTGTCATTGCAGCGTGCCGCGGCTGAGGCGGCACGTGTGCGAGGGGCGATATCTCTCTCACCGAGGCGGCCGCTCCCCGGACGCCGGCTCGCACCCCGGCGGCGGCGCTGTGGGAAGCTTCCGAGACGCTGCCCACGAGCGATCGACCGAGCTTGCGCAGCAGCTTCAGCCGACTCCGGCTGCCGGGCTTTACCGCCTCCGCTGCCGTCGCCGCCGCACTCTCTGCCTCTACTCTCGCCGCCTCTCTCGCCGCCTCGGCCTCGCCGGCACGGAACGCGGGCAGGGCTCTGGAGAGGTCGCAGCGCCACGTGTACGGCCCGACTCCAGCCGGCTCCTCCGCCGCCGCCGCAAACGCCGCCGTCCGCGCGTGGGCCCGAGCGACCATCTCCTCTCCTGCTGCCGTCGCCCGCCGCGCCATCTGCTCACCCGCCGCGGTGATCCTGTTCGCCCGATCGTTGGCTGAGGGCTGAGCGCAGGCTGGTGCAGGCCCAAAGATTTCGTCCATCTCCTCCTCAGTCATGACCATTACGAGTAAGGGCTTTAGCCCGGCACGACTTTCTTTACTGGTAGCGATCGATGTGCCAATATGGATTTACGTAATCCATTCTAACTTCATTCGCCGAAGGGCGACGGTCTCTCGTGCGCGCGAGCGAGCCCGAGCCTCGCCGCCGCGCCACGAGCGATCTTTCTTCTGCTGGCACAACCCAGCCAGCCGGCGCGCGCGCTCCACGCCGCGCGCCGCTATTGTGCTGCGCCTCGCGCAGCCCAATGTCGGAGGCAGCACTGCTCGCATTCTCCGACATTCCTGGCCTCGCTTCAGCTCTGCCAGAGAGGTCTGACACGGGGATGGATGCCGCCCTGGGCGCATTCCGTGAGGTCCCCACAGCGCCTTCGCGGCCTGGGAGTACTGATGAGGCCGCCGAGCCTGCTGGCCGAGCCGAGCCGGCCGAGCCCGCAGAAGTTGGCGAGAGCTCCGTGTCTCTCGCCAGTGTGTCAGAAGGCCGTGCCCTGCCTGACACCGAGATGGATGCCGCCCTGAGCGCATTCCAGGAGAACCCCAAAAGGAACAGGCCCCCGCCCTTGCGATCTTTGTGCAGGGTTCTTTGTGGGTGTGGTCGGCGACTAGCCGGGGTCGTCCTCCCGATGGGGGACTAGCACTAGCCGTCTTCCACATGGTCCCTCGGGTCCCTGCTGCTCCTAATCTCTTCGTACATCCTCCTGCTGATCTCCGCAAAGCCCGAGACGCCGAATCCTTCATTTGTTTTGTTTGTTTGCCTTCATAGGTCGCGACCCGTTTCCCGAGCCCACCGAGCTGAGGGCTCTCACAGCAGACTGTCGCCCACCCTTGGGCGTCTGCCTCTTCCTGTCTCTCTTCGCAGTCCCTCGCCGATTCTCGCTCGTGGCCGTGCGATTTCTTTCGACTCCTCCATCTCGCGTGGGCCCACAGGATGTCGGCAGTGACGGCATTGCGCACGCTTTTCGCGGCCGTCGTTGTCGCGACCATCGCCGACGCCGGCCCCCTCCTTGGCCGCCTCCCGCTGCTCCGTGGTGGCGCGGACGAGCCGTCTCTCGGCGAGCCGCTGCTGCCTGCGAGGCCGATCGCTGCAAGGGCGGGCGGCTCGGCTGCGGGCGCGCGCGTTGCCAGGGGCAGCCGCGGGAGGCCAGCGCTGCGCGGTCGGAGCAGAGCTGCGCGCGGCCGCGGCCGCGGCCGCGGCCGTGGCCGGGGTCGAGGCGGCGACGAGAGGAGCACTCTCGAGAGCGCTTCAGGCCTTGTCGGAGACCTCGCACCAGAGGCCGAGACGGCCGCGGCCGCTCGCTCCGCCGGCGGCGCGATCGAGCGCGCGGCCGCCGGCGCCGCGCCGGCGCCGCTGCCGGAGGCCTCGCTCGAAGCCGAGTCGGCCGTTGGGACAGCGGCCACGCCCGCGGCCGAGACGGCAGGCTCGCGGGCAAGAGGAATAGAGGCGGACGAGGAGGCGGTGCGCGCAGCGGTCTTGAGCTTGGTCCACTGGGAGGCGCCCGCCACGTCTGCAGCTGCCTTCGCCGCCGGCAACGCCGCATTCGCCGCCGCCGTCTTTGGGCGCGTCGGCGCGACGGCCGCCGCCGCCGCCGCTTGCTTTTGGCTCGTCCTGCTCACTGTCCCGTTTGCTCTGGTGTACCGCGCCCTGGCTCCTGCGGCGGAGGCGGCGCCCGGCTCGGTGCCCCGCTCGCTCGCTGCGGTGGCCGAAGCCGTCGCCGAGGCGAGACCGCCGAGATCGAGCCGAGATCGAGCCGAGATCGAGCCGAGATGGAGGCGGGTGGGCACGGGATGTCGCCGAGACGCGTCCATGACACGTCCATGACACGTCCACGACACGTCCCCTCAGGCGATGCCGTCCCCCCTCCGGCCCGGGGGGCAGCTGCTCTCGCCCGCCGCCGCCGCCGCCGCCGCCGCCGCCGCCGCACGCGCACTCAACACCGCGTTCGACTCGGTGCGCTCGGCGGCCGCAGTCGAGTCTACCGCGCACACAGTGCGCGTGCTGCTCGCCGCGTGGGCCGTCAAGTGCGCCGGCGGCGCCTGCCACCTCCTGCCGCTGCTGTGGGCTCTCTTTGTCGGCGCCTTCTCGGCGCCGCTCTGGGCGCACCTCCAGGCGAGATTGTCCGAGATTGTCCGAGATTGTCCGAGATTGTCCGAGATTGTCCGAGATTGTCCGAGAGCCACCGCCGACACGTCCACTGGACGCGTCCACTGGACGCGAGGACGACTGGACATGTCCACTGGACACGTCCACTGGACGCGTGGACGACTGGACATATCCACTGGACACGTCCACTGGACGCGTGGACGACTGGACATATCCACTGGACACGTCCACTGGACGCGTGGACGACTGGACATGTAAACTGGACACGTCCACTGGACGCGTGGACGACAGGACATATCCACTGGACATGTCCACTGGACATGTGCACTGTCCGGACACGTCGGCGGGGGACACGTTGCGACTGACCCGCTCACTGGCGCGTTCTCCGGTTCGCCCCCCGGCGCCTCCTCCTGACTCGCGCGCCGCCACGCCCCCGCTGCCAGGCGACGCACGGCCAGCAGCTTCACGACTCCCTCGCGGCGCCGCTGCTGGTTCACGCGCGAGAGGCTGCGGCGGCGGCACGCACTGCGATGGCGGGCAGCCCGCTCGCCCGCTTTTTTGGCGAGGCGACGCCGCGCTAGGGGGGGGGGGGCGGTGTCGCCGTGGCGCGGCGTTCTAGCCGCGGGGGAGGAGAGGGGTGCGAGGCCGAGTGAGGAGGACGAGGAGGAGGAGCCGAGGGGAAGACAGCCTCCCGCGGCCACGCCAGCTGCCTCGCGTTTGCACACCTCTGCCATCGTTTGGTCCGCATCGACACGCGGGGCGGGCAGGCCGCACCGCCGCAGGCGCCCTCTTTTCGACCTCATCTCGTTCTCTCCCGGGCGGGCGCCATGCCCGATCGCGCGTGCTCTCCCATGGCTCTCCGTATATATTATCCATCGAGAGCACGGTTCCACCCTTTCCACACCTCCCCCTCGCCCAGAGCCCACACGGCCACAGCGGTTGTAGAGACATGCTTGCTGTGTAGACGGAGCGGAGTCTGGATAGCTCCGCGCGCGCGGCCCTGCCTGGGAGGCACTGGGGCCTCTGGGGGACGGGGGAGCATTCTACAATATCTAATTTTCAATCATGATATGTGGCGCGCCAAAATGAACAGGGCGGAACTCAGCCTCAGCCCGGCCGGCGCACCCACGCCATCGGCTCTGGCTCATGCACGCCGCACACGCCACAATCGGCGATCACCACCGGGTACGCCGGCCTGCCAGAGTCGTCCCCCTCCGGCGCCGCACACTGCTCCATGATCGCCAGCACCTCTGCGCCGCCGACCAGCTGCCTGCGAGGTGCGCCGACATCAGCTCAGCGCAAGTGCAGTGACACTCTGGGACGGCGATCTCTGCGACTCTCGCAAGGGCGCATCTACGTCCCGCTGCCCAAAGCCGACGTGTTTGCCCGTCAGGCGCGAGACGTCGCCAAACGTGAAGAAGAACTGCGACGTGTTCGTGTTTTTGCCGCTGTTGCCCATGGCGAGCATCCCTCGCTCGCCCAGCTTCACCTTGAGCCCTGCGGCGTCGTCCTTGAAGCCCTGCTTCTTGCCGGGGAAGACGCACTCGCCACCACTCCCATTGTTCTTGACAAAGTCGCCGCCCTGCGCCACAAAGCCCTTGATGCAGCGGTGGAAGTGGCAGCCCTTGTAGGTCATCTCGCACCCCGACTCTTGGCCCTTGCCTCGGTTGCCGAGCAGCAGCGCCACAAAGTTCTCGACCGCCAGAGGCGCAACCTCTGGCCACACCTCGACGTAGATGCGCTGCGGCGGCATCTTGACGGCGCAGCGGCCTCTGCCGCTCCACTCGAAATCGTTGGCGTACAGCTGCTCCTTGACGCGCTTGAGCTCGGAACCGCCAAGCTCCGGCAGCCAGTTTGACGTCAGCGAGTAGGCGAGGTTCTTTGCAGCCACAAAGTTAACGGCGCGCTGGTATGCCGCGCGCGAGTCGTTGATGTCGATGTCGAGCCAGCAGCGCAGCTTGCCGTCGACGACGTGCTTCTGAGCCTCGAGGTCGAGCATGTGCGGCAGCCGACAGCGGAGGCCGAGCGCGTCGTGGCGTACCCTTGCTTGGTGCTCTGTCCCCGGAAAGTGAGAATTTCCCGTAGCGTGAAGCTAGGATAGAGAGCAAGCTCGCTCTCAATCCTAGAAGTCGAAGGATTGTGAGCAGCACTCCTCGCAATCGTAGCATCTCTGTGCGATTGTGAGCACCCACGCTCGCAATCCTACATCTTCTAGGACTAAGAGCAGCTCCGCTCCCAAGCAAGGCGACTGACTGGTGACGCCTACGACTACTACCAGCGCGCTCACAATCCGAGCAAACTCTAGGGTTGCGAGCAGCTTAGCTCACAATCCTGGCAACATGCCTCCGATTGCGAGCAGGAGCGCTCGCAATCCTACGTCTTGTAGGACTATGAGCGGCTGCGCTCACAATCGTACCAAAGATCCAAGGACTGCTAGTTGGCTAGCAGTCGCACAGAGGGCGCTCCCAATCGCTCCAGCCGCGAGCGCTTGTGAGTGAGCGCGCCGGGAGGGTGTCTCATCACAATCCAAACAGTGATCGCACCGATTGCGAGGGGACCCGCTCGCAAATCCTAGAAGTCGTAGGACTGTGGGCGGTGTCGCTCGCAATCGGCGAAAGTTCTAGGAATGCGAGCGCTCCTGCTCGCAATCGGAGGCATGTTGCTAGGATTGTGAGCCAAGCTGCTCGCAACCCTAGAGTTTGCTCGGATTGTGAGCGCGCTGGTAGTAGTCGTAAGCGTCACCAGTCACCTTGTGAGCGGAGCTGCTCTCAGTCCTAGAAGATGTAGGATTGCGAGCGTGGGTGCTCACAGTCGCACAGAGATGCTACGATTGCGAGGAGTGCTGCTCACAATCCTTCGACTTCTAGGATTGAGAGCGAGGCTGCTCTCAATCCTAGCCTGGTAGAAAAGAAGGTTCACCCCGTCTGTGTGTGTGTGTGTGTGTGTCACATTTACAACGCAGCTCCCTAGGGGTTCGAGGTCCTCGCTGAGCAGCTCAGAAGCCGCCCAGCCCGGACCTCGTCCCTCCACCCCTCCCTCTCCCAGCACCGGTCACCAGCCCAACCCTCCACCACCACCACCTCCCCACGCCTCAAGCCAAAAGAAATCGCGCACGCATCGCGATGGCAGTCTGGTCCAGGGACGTGGGCTGACAGCGCTGCGTTCGGGGGGGGCGTGCCAGAACTGAGCCGGCCACAGGCCACGGTTGTCCTGTACGAGAGGAATCCCTCCCTGTCGTGTAGGTGAACTCTCTGCCCTTGCAGTCGGTGCCGGTGATGATGTCCCCACCCTCCCGGTGAATCTCTCCCTGCCACCAGAGGGCCAGCTGAAAGAGGCGGACCAGCATTGCCATCTTGATGGGCTTGCTAACGTGGGGCCCCGGGTGGCACGACGGGTACTTGTTGTAGAGCTCGGTAGGTAGGTAGAAAGGTGAAGAACAGCCAGGCTCGGACTGGACACCAACGCGGTATGGGTGGACGCTAGACAGATGATGACGACACGCACGAGCGACACACAGACACAAACAGGCTCACAAGACACACAGCCAGCGGGCTGCCACACACCCTGAGTAGGCGTACACATAACTCAAGGCCACATCCTCCCTGTCGCCCCCCCCAGCACTCCAAGGTGCCAAGAGAACAAACAAGGGCACAACAAACAACAGACAACAGGAAGTGACATGCGAGGCTAGAGCAGGCTTGCTCTACCTCCAGCAATCTCTCCGGCCGGCGGGGCACGGACGAGACCGTGTGTGGGGTCTAGTGAGGTGTCTATGGACGCCCTCCTCAGAGGCTAGCTGCCTACGGCTAGCCTCATCTCGCACTCACAGGTGATGACAATCCAATGTATGAGTGTATGCAAGCAGAGGCGCGTGTGCTAAATCTAGGCCGCACGTCGTGGCACTATGACGGAGGTAGACGTGCGACCGCAGCGCGCCCACCACAGTCTCGGTGGTGCGCGCGTGTTAGCGATAGAGTTGCGGGGAGAGCCATGCCCGACTTTTCGAAGGCGAGCCCCACGCCACGGATGCCAGCCGTGCTTTCGCGGGAGTCGTCTCTCGAGCCGCGTCCCGTCGGCACTGCCCCAAGTAGCCCCGCCTTGGCGGCACACACTCTCGACCAGGACAGTCCGGCCTACGGGAACGTGTCGCGCGCCGGCGACGATTGCGGCGTGGTCGTTGTGAAGTGAAGATGGCACGACCACCGCCCTGCTTCGCAGACTGGGCAAGGAGGCCTGCTCCCGTTCCGCGAGGAACAGGAGGTCTCCTCCCCTCCCCCGGCCTGAGCAGCGACGGGTGGAAGGCAGCCCCTTCGAGGTTGGCAGGCGAGAGTCTGCGGGGCTCGCAAGCCGAGTCTCAGCCACACGCCCCTCGCACCTATACTCCACCAATGAGAAGGTGAAGAGATCTTATCGGCCAGGCGGGCAGGGCAGTCGGGCGGGCGGGCGGGGTCGGAGATCGCGCGGTTCTGCGGTCGGCGAGGTGGGTGGGTTGGGAGCGAGGGGGCGGAAGTGTTCAGTGCGGTAGATTGGCGAGCTCGAGGCGCGTGAGCCGGACCTGTGAGCCGGACCACCCCCTCTTGTTATCTGCGTTGTTGAGCCAGGACTCAACATACTCGGGCTTGCAATCCCAAACTGTCACTCCCCTTTCTCCCGGCCGGGGTGGGGCGCGCGCGGGGGCGGCGGGTGTGCGGCGGGTGTGAGGGATGTCCGTGAGCCCGAGAGCGATATGCCATGTCCGCCTTGCGTTTGTTTTCATAACATCGAAGGCTAAGCTCAGAAAGAAAACACAGCGCCGGGTAGCTGCGGCATGGCCTCCCACCGCATCGGCGCCCGCGTCGCGGGCCTCCAGCGCAGCTGTGCGTGGCGGAGGAGCACGCCGCACGGCTCGTGGAGCAGCCCGAGTGGGTGCTCTCCGACGTCCTCCTCTCGCCGGACCTCGTACCGCACATCCTCGCCCAGCTGCCGACCAAGGAGCACGCCGCCAAGGGGACGTGCCGCGCGTGGCGCCGCGGCTGGAAGGAGACGCTGGAGACGCGCGAGAGGCCGCGCATGCTCGTGTTCGCCGGCGCCACTGCTGGAGTTTTCCCACTGAACTCGCTGGAGCGGTACGACCCGGCAACGAATGAGTGGGAGGAGGAGGCTGTGGCGCCGATGCCGACGGCTCGGAAAGACTTCGAAGTGGCGGTGCTTGACGGCAAGCTGTACGCTGTGGGCGGCCTAGATGCCGACGCAGATGCCCTCAGCACGGTCGAGCGGTATGATCCCGCGACAAACGTGTGGGAGGCGGTTGCGCCGCTGACGAGGGCAATGGAGTGTCTCAGCGTGGCGGTGCTCGACGGAAAGCTGTATGCTATTGGCGGGTACGGTGACGGCTACCTCACGTCCGTGGAGCGGTACGACCCGGCGTTGAATGCGTGGGAGGCGGTGGCGCCACTGGCGGCTGCGCGGGCGGGGCACGACGTGGCGGCGCTCGACGGCAAGTTGTACGTTGCTGGCGGGTACGACAGCAACAACTACCTCAGTTCGGTGGAGATGTACGATCCGGCCGGTAATGCGTGGCAGGAGGTGGCGCCACTGCTGACGGCGCGGAGTGCTCATGGCATTGCCGTGCTGTAAGGGAAATGAGTGCAATCGACTCTCTACATGAATGTGTTCTCGAGTCGTAGGCCGTAGGGGAAGCCCGCTCGCGCGCTCGGGCGAACACCCGCTCGGGGTACATTACGGCGCGGTCGTTGAGGAAGAAAAGAGCTCGATTTATTTTACTGTTATCCATAACCAAGAAGAGAAGGAGGCTACGTCCTGGCTAGTGCCATTTCACTCTGACACGCTCTAATCTTGAAAACGTCTCCAACGGAGCTCCGTGTTGCATCCAGCGCCCTCCCCCGCGCTCCCTGCGGCGATGGCCGATGATCCTAGTATGAGAGGTCATCTGGCTACCGCGAGAGCGACCCAACTCGTCGACATCGTCCGATGATGGTGCCGCAAAGTCAGCCTTCGGAGGCTATCTATCGTGGGGTCGAGCCGGCAGTAGCCGTGACATGTGGTTCCACCACCCCTCGTAGGCTTTGCCTCTGATCGCCACCGTTCCCAGGCTGCCTAATGGGATGGAAAGGAAGGCTCGGCGAGCGTCTAGAAGCGTTCTCGACCTCGTCGTGGCAACCTGCACGGCAGCGCTGGCGGGCGCGATGAGCGTCGTGCCACCTGACCCGAGACGGGTCGCAGGCGTCGTACCGAGCGCGTCGAGACCGTGTCCTGATGTGATCTGCACGGGTAAATCACGTCGGCGTCAAAGGAGCGACGTGCGACCTGTCAGAGCTTGCTCTCCGATCTCAGCGGCGTCGAGTCGTCTCCGGCGCGCGACAAAGGTACATCCACAGGACGCGCAGAGGCAGCTGCGACCCCGCTGAGAGCGGGGAGCGAGCGCTGACAGGTCGCACGTCGCTCCTGTGACGCCGACGTGATTTACACGTGCGGATCAGATCAGGACGCGGTCTGGACGCGCTCGGT